CCCCCCTTTGTAATCGTCATTTCTTGTAGATGTTAATGTGATTGTATCATTACAAATTATTTATTCTCTGCTTCAGCTGTAAAGATGACTGCCCGTTTCAAGCCATAGTGTGCCCAGGTGGTAGGAAAGTGTGCTCAAAGCATTTCGACTGTGTCAGAAGAGAACCTTTTTCATATCATAACAATGAAAACCCATAATCAGCATTCTTCAGGCTTTAAAATGTTTCAACAACCATTTTTATATTTTACAATTAAAGAGCACATTTATATAAAAAGCTGTTGTTCTTTTCTGTGTGGCAATTTACTGATTATTTGGTTATCCTGCTATAAATATCAATACAGAATGACACTTGAGCGTCCAATGAAAAGAATATCTAGTGTGTCCCATAGATGGATCTTCTGGTTGTCAGTGTATTTGTTTCATATTATACTATGAGCTCTGTATCATTTGTTTCAGTACTATTTAAAAGGAGAACTATGAGGTGAGTGAAAATCACTCATCCTCATAGTTCAAGCCGATCATTTTACTTGCTCTTTTATGAAAACTCTAAAACTGAACTTTTTCTATTCTGTGTCATTTCAAGGAGGGCACGGGGAGTTGATGTTTACCATAATTAACCCTGTTTGTACTGTTCTGGTGGATCTCACTCTCAGTTGTAAATGATATAAAACCAATATTGCCTCGTTCAACCTTTGGCCTGAAGGAAGAAAATATAATAGATTCCTCTATTAATGCTAACGGGCGTTGATTGAGGATTCTCCCGCTGTCTTCATTGTATTCTGATGGTGGCCACCATCCACTGCCAGAACACCTGAACAGAGCTAGCAGATCATTAGCTGCTGGCCCTGTGTGTTTGAAGATTTTCCAACCTGCTCTTTCGATCAACTGATCGTGGGATGCCAGGCGGAGGATTATCAAGAACCGGATGAAATTTGCATAGTGTATGGCCACCTTCAGTGTCCCCCCCTTTGAGTACAGAATTAGTCAGACATTGTTCAGAGTAGCTGCAGTGTGCCCAAAGGCCTAAGAGACATCTAAAAAGGTAAGAAATACTTTTACAATAATTTTTCAGAATGCTGTGTGAATGGGAACACATTCTTTAATTTGACTCAAAAGTAGAAATACGCTTGAAAGTGTATGTTAACTCTAACGTTAAAAACTCCTTTACTAATTCACTGAACTCCTCTTTATACCCAAGCAATGTCTGCAATCTCTCACTGATGTTCAGCAGTCAAAAAATATCTGGTGATCCTGCCAGTTCCGCTTAGGCCTGGTTCACACCTGGGCGTTTTGTAGCATGCTCTGCAAAACGCTCAAACACCGAAATCCCATTATTTCCTATGGGTATGGTTCACACCTGGGCGTATTACAGGCCGTATGAACACGCTACAAAATGTCCTACGCCCAAAGAAGTACAGGAGCTTATTTGGGGCGTTTTTGTTGTGCGTTTCCATTGGAATACAGCCAAGTAGCCCTCGGAAACACGCGTTTGTCGTTTTTTTTTACCGCGAATCAAGCTGCGGGAGAGGAGAGGGACTGAGCAGTTACGTGACCACCACTAAAACCCCTATAAAAAGTTTTTCCGTTTTCTTTGTCCAAAGTGGGGCAGGAGGTTTAATAATGGTGTCTATTGTTTTTGTGCATTTGCATACACTTCTAAACTGAACCAGTAAGGTAGAGTGTTTTTTGGCTGTGTGCACTATGAGTTGTTTAAATCAGGAGTTGGCTGTACAGAATTACAAATTCATTGGCAGGTATAGTACTAAATCGCATATGTGTTTTAACCTGGAGTTTCACTTTAAGTATATGGTAGGAATTATTAATAGGGAGGGATGTTGTGTAGCTCCAGTGAAGATTTTGCACTGAAGCCCAGGGGAGTTCGGCTATGCCCCCTGTTCAGATAACATACATATAATGCTATGTGTATGTTCCTATTATAGCCTTTAAAAAAAAAAAAAATGAGATGCCTGGAGAATGGCTGCCAAACATCTCTCCAACATCTGATTATTTGCTGGGGAAATCTCCAGTGTGGTAATTGTACATCTGGAATTCTCTGCGATGATGGTATGAAAATGGAATAGAAACAATGTTACACATTCAGAGCATTTCTTAGCAAGAGCAATCTATACAGGATGAATGAGTGTACGGGGAGTTGGAAAATGTAGACTTGTGTTACTGTCATTATGGTATGACATAACATATTACCAGTGAAGATGAATAAGAGCCTCTTTATCACCAGCAGCGAGGACAGACATACCTTGTGCACATGGAAAACATACAGGTCTGCTGATTCGTGTTAAATAGAGAAGAATGAATCTCAAGACATCAATAGTGTGCCAAACTGAAATACTTCTACATGTGGTTCCATATACTGTCAGTAGGAGGCAGGAATGAAAAAGGATATTTTAAGCAGTAGATATAACCATTAGCATACAGTGAATAAATAATAAACCATTGTTTTAGAATGATAGATCTATCGATCTATCGATCTATCTCTATATATAGAAATATCTATATATAGATATACGTACAATAGAGATATATATATA